TCCCTACATTTTTTTTACTCTGACGAACATAACACCTAGGGGAAGATATTTCAATTCCTCATCCTCCTTGCCCATTAAGCCCCACCTTTGAACGAAACTCCACCACCATCAGTATGCAGTAGAATCAGCACCGAAGATCGTCATACTCAACAAAAAAGTTTTCTGTTTTAAACCTAGAAACAAGAGAAAGAAAGAAAGATAAAGACAAACCTGTTCATATAGAACTCTTTTCATCGTCGGATTGTGAGTCTTCAGCCACTTCAGATAGACGCGTCGTGAGAAAAACTTCGAAAAAGATTTGGAATAGCGATTTTGTTAGGGTTTCATTTTGGGGAAAACTAGAAGGAGGGGGGAGGGGGGGTCTAATTTTTTATCGAATGTCCCAAAGGGACTTGGGGGAGGTTTAATATTAATAGAATTTTTTTATATTGGCGCAAATTATAGGGACCGGATATCTATCCTTTCAATGTTAGGATTTTGCACCCTTCGTTAGTTTAGAAACCCATAATGAAGATTAGGGACCAGAATAAAATCTCATCACAATAGGTGTACTTTTGGGGACGAGATTTTAACTCTCGCAGTTGGTCGCTAATAAGCCATTTTCTTGTAGTAAAACAAATATTTTTTTTTCTAAATTACTGAGGAGTCGACTAAAAAATAAAGAAAAACTTACACATATGTCCCAAATAAATCTCAACTTACCAACCTCTAGCCATTAGTCATAGACTTACCAAAACTAGCCAACAAAAATTGAAAAACCAAATAATAGGGTTTTTTCTCTCAAATAATCACATGCAAAAATCACCTTCCATATTTTTAAGCGTGATTAGCAACATTAGATACAAGACGGAAAGGAAATTTCATGGACGGGATAGCAAATAAGGTGATGAAATACAAAAATCTATACAATATTCCAAAAATCTAAACAAAAAAAGGAACTTTTTCAATGGGTATAGTTGAAATTCATTGAAAATATCTAGATAAGTCAATATACAAAATTGAGGAAGATTGAAGGTAATTTGGACTGGTTTTGTATCAAAATTCGTAATTAAATCGAGTTCAAAAAAGTCTTCTGCGACACATGTATCAAACATGTATCACGTATGTATCACACACACAGGTATACATGGATGGATATACATGTGATACACAATTGATATAAAATGATACATAAATAATACACACTGTGATACACATATCTTTTTTTTTTTTTCATATTCAACTTTTACTTCGAATTTTCAATTCAAACCACCTCAAAACTTCACCAAATCATCTCAAAACTGAGATTCAAGCTCCTTAAGTTGTGCCAATCTATTCTAATAACACCAACTCAAAACAAAGCAAAAATTTGATATTTTTTGCTAAAAATAGCTAATTTGGCTAATAATAGTAATATTTTATTAATTGACCAATTTTTGTAATGAGCTACTTATAAATAGACATAGCTGGTAATTTTCCAAAAATGAATGACTCAAAAGGCTTAATTTTTCATTTAATGAAAAAGTGTTATAAATAGAATTTTATTTATGGTGAATGTCTATATTTAGAGAGATTCTAGGGTTTATTACTTGGTGGCTAAGTCACCCTCTCCCTATAAATAGAGGGTTCTATTCCATTGTAATTCATCCCAAAATTCAATAAGAATTCTCTCTCTCTACTTTTCTCTGCAATATTGCTCTTGTTCTTTTATTGTTTTATAATACGTTATCAGCACGAGACTCTAACCAATTGAGTAGAAGCTTTGGGATTGAGCATAATGATTGTCAATTATTCCATGAACTTCCTTCATGATTAAATTCTGAATTTAAGGTAAGTATTTTACCGTATTTTTCTCTTTTATTCTATACTTTGATTTTATATACAAGCAAAGACAACAAAGTTTGATTATAACTCTAATGGAGTTTGTAAGAAATTATAACCACCTGAAGTGGTAAAATTTCTATGTCTTGCCATGATCAAATCCATGTATGATTATGGGCACAAAAAGTGGAAACCCGTCCCATTGAATTTGCTCCATTCTCATTCCCTTAAGAGAATGTGATAGCAGTATGTGATAAGTCTGAAAGAAGACAAAATTATCACTATGAATATATCAATGGATGTGGACGTGGCAATAGACGAAATTATAATCGTCATCATTTGTGGTAATGACAACAATAAGGATTCTCAAAATAATCTTTCACTCTGTGAAAAATATTTGTCATCGATTTGACATGAGATTTTGTAAAGCACATATAGATGATTATGGTCCATTCATGATGTGAACGTGACAACATCTGATTTATGAATACATATTCATTCTTCAAAGAATAAGAACGTGCTAGTGGTAGTGAATATACCGCACTCACCTCTAAAAGGAAGTTTGAGATGATATAAGAAAATAATGTCATTATTATGGCATGAATGGTCATTGGTCACGTACCTATTGTACGCCAAAATATTTTGGCATTGTGATTGTTAAAAGACAACGGTAATGCAAGAAACAGATCTTGCATATAATTTTGACCATAACCATCATGGTATAACTTTCTCTTTAAAAGAGATATTCACCATATGGGTGTTGATGAATATATGGTACTATAAAATTAATTGAGAACTCCGCAAGAGCCAATTATACTATTTTGGAGAAACACAATTGATTACCAACAAGGTATTGTGTTGTAGGGTCTCAAAGAAACTTATTCAGTTTCTAAAGTATTCGCGAAAGCGGTTGGTCATACTGAGACTATAAATAAAGGAAAGATTTAATATCTTCTATTACCACTACTTGTAGCGAGGTAATATGTATGTGAAAAGTTACCCGCTTTATTCTCTATTTTGTACTACACAAATAAAACAATACCATACTAAAGTGAATGTTTATTGATATAAAAACTCATATCATAATAAACTTGAAGTTTATTGATAATTGCACACGTCATGGTGTAAATCTGAAGTTTATCGATATTGATAATTTATTCAGTTGGCATAATTTGTTTCGCCATATCAATTTAAGTATGATGTGCAAAAACAATAGAGAATTCACATGGGTAAATATTAAAGAACTAGAAAGTTCTTTACGAATTCTCTTATATTGCTTGTTCTCATTAATTAATAGATCAACTAAAATTGGGATTGAATCCCATGAATACTGAAAATATCAAAGGTGAATATGGGCCCATTCACCTGCCATGTATACCACATAAGATGCATCTATGAGATGGTTGCATGTGCGATTATTATTAACTCGCAACATGGTGTTTGCGAGGTAACTTGCTCAATAATTTGATTTAGAGCATGATTTCCAGATTTTCTATTCAAGAAGTTCATCTTGATAAGTTGGTTTACATCACAGTTGGTTTAGCAAAATAATTTATTGAGTGCCTCCACTTAATAGCTAAACTATTGCTTATGAGAACAAAGTTATATATATCAGTTTGATATACGTTATATATGAAAGTATATTATTTTCTCCCCTCACAATTGGTTCATGGTCAGGAACCAAATAATTCCATCTTATTATTATTGATGTGCGGTGTATATTTTGATTAACACCATAACGCACAAAGGTGGATTCTCAAAGTTGAGGTAACAAGTTAGTTTTTCTAACATGAGGGGGAGACATGATAAACAGTTGAGAAAAAGTTACGTGGAATGAATTATCATTTGTTCATATAGATCCTCGAATAAGATAATATGAACTTGATGTTCATAAAAAGATAATTCATGTGCAATATATTGCAAAGCATGCCAGACGCATTTGCTTACCCAAAGAAAGTAACTATATTCTCATTGCAAATGCTCATATTAAGTCCTAGAAGGACAAAGTCTATGGTACGCTTATAGCATACAGACAAATCGGTTTCAAATAAAACTTCTTGATAAAGAAGATGAGCAAATGATCAAAATGATCATAATAAAGGAGGCAAGTGATCTAGAAGATCTCATGACATAACACTTCATAAAATCTCATGAAAGATTCAGGTACCTGAATATATGAATGAAGAGATCTCTATGTTATTTCTTTATGAAAAATAAGAAGGTTGGAACCGATATAAAATGTTCGTCGACGACATCTATGATACCGCTAAATATATATGAGGATCTTAAGTCTGGTGAAACAATTTCGAATAGAATTGGTTTCATATGAAAGACATGTAGTTTTGAACATGCATGTAGTTCAAACACTTGAAAGTATAAAGTCAATGGTATGTGCAATCAGTTTTCGATATCTTATATGTCTAGCATGACATGAAAACTTGATATGCATCTAAAGTCTATTATATGGCTTATATGACTTAACAATCCCTGAAGGATTTAAATTGCCTAAAGCATATAGAATTCATGGTCATGAAGTACTACATCCTCAATGCAATTTGTGCACAAATGTATCTTGCTATAACTATATGCATGATAATATGATAGCAAGAGTTTTCACCTCTATGTGAAGATATTGAATTGACGATTCCAACAAGATCATATGAAGACAATTCATCTCTATCAAGAATGATGATTTCAAGGTGCAGTATATTCATTCAAGTTAATATGCCTGATTTGTTTATCAAATATCTACCAAAGATCTTTTGAAGATGGTGCACAAGATTGGAATGCAAATGCTTAAGGATGTGAAGTGATGCTCTCATGAGGGGGAGTTAATACGCGTTGTACTCTTTTTCCCTTACAAGGTTTTGTCCCACTGGGTTTTCCTTGCAAGGTTTTTAACGAGGCAACCAAAAGGCGTATTGTTAGATATGTGTACTCTTTTTCCTTCTGTAGAATTTTTTTCCCCACTGGGTTTTATTTTAGTTAAGGTTTTAACGAGGCACATTATCTGTTGAATAGACATTCAAGGGGGAGTGTTATAAATAGAATTTTATTTATGGTGAATGTCTATATTTAGAGAGATTCTAGGGTTTATTACTTGGTGGCTAAGTCACCCTCTCCCTATAAATAGAGCGTTCTATTCCATTGTAATTCATCCCAAAATTCAATAAGAATTCTCTCTCTACTTTTCTCTGCAATATTGGTCTTGTTCTTTTAGTGTTTTATAACAAAAAGCCAATTTTGTTATGATCACATATTGTTCAAGTGATAAATAATACGTGCATAATATCATTGTTTTCTCTTTCCCTCACCATTGTTAATTACACAGTCAATTACCGGAGTATTTTCCAGCCACCGGACGGCGATCGGTTCCCGTGGTAACCATTTTCTCCTGTAATTGTATTATGAGATCGATCTATCATCATGTCTATCTACATGCATGTATTATACATGATGACATTTATATATTTTTTCTTCACCCGTTTCTGAATTCTTGGTAAATTGCGCTAACATCATGATTCATAATTATTATTCCAATTTTATTCTTTAACACCATTTTATTTCACGTGGATAACGGGCCATAGACATGTTTTTCATTTTAATTTCCTTATTTATTAACCCTAACCTCACCTTAGTTAGCGAATCATTAATTCAATATGCATTCTCTTTGAGAAACATAAAAAGGGCAGCCGGTACACTAAACTCCTGCTATGCGTGGGGTTCGGGGAAGGGCCAGACCACAAGGGTCTATTGTGCCCAGTCTTACCCTGCATTTCCGGCTCGAACCCGTGACCTCGTGGTCACATGACAACAACTTTACCAGTTACGTCAAGGCCTCAGAGGCTAATGTAGGATTTCAACCTTTAAGTTCTTAGCACTAAACGTTGCACTTTGGAGTTTGATACTTGTTGAAACTTAAGTGGTTTTGTGAAATATATGTCTTGTTAATTTTACTGTGGAAAATATTGGGTTCAGTTAAATACATTAATCTTAGGCTCCATCCGCCTTTGCATGGGTTGTTGAATATGCAAATTGCGAGTTTTGAACTGTCTATAGAGTAGAGCTGCTTGTTCATGAATGAAAAAGTACTTTGACAGATGATTAATTATTTGTTTAATTATATTAAGCATTGTTTGTTTTAATGGATCTCTGTCCATTTTGTGATCAGATTTTGAGAAAAACTTTAGCTTTTAATGATTATAAACGATGGAAGTGTTATATGGATAATAACACAGTGATTTTACATTTTTAAATGTGATATTTGATCAGTTGGTAGCCAGAGTCTAAATGATGGGTAATTGCTGAACTTCTGTTCTTTTGTATAAATAAAAGGAATCAGAAAATAGACTTTGCATCCACCTTACATAGTATGTATTGGCTCCTTGATTAGCTCTTAATTACTCAATTAAAATGCATTACGTGAAATTTGTTGCATGTCTTTTTCCAGGTTTTGTTGGGTAACAAAATTAAGTTCTAGGGGTTCTGATATTGCTGCATATGGCGAGAAAAGCTCTTGGTGCTTTAAAAGACTCCACCATGGTTGGGATGGCCAAGGTTAACAGCGAGTACAAGGTGAACTATATCTTTGAAAATATATTATATTAGTGCTATAGTCTTAATTTTGAGTTAGAAAAACCATTAATTAAGAATGTCTTTTTCCTTCAGAAACTAGATGTTGCTATACTTAAAGCCACAAACCATGTCGAACTACTGCCAAAGGAGAAGCATCTACGAAGTAAGTTCAATTTTAACTTTGCACATCAGAGACATCGAATTTATAGCTTTGTGTCAATCTTTAGTGGTCTCAGCAGCATAGAACTTCCGTTAATTGAAGGCTGAGGCAACCTCGGATGAAATTAGTGATGTTCATAAGAAATACAGATGTCTCTTTCATTTCCTTTTAGGAATTATGGGCTTCTAATTTGGACTTAGCCATTTTGTTATCAAATTTAGGAGATGTGTCCAAATAATATGTTTTTCAGTGTCATATATGAACCTTTTGACTTGACATAAAAAATTTATTTTTTGTCATGCATTTGTTTTCCTTTTGCGTTTAAATGGTTACTGCACAATGTACTCAACTTCTTCTTTTTGCAGCTATTTTCAATGCAGTTTCAAGCAACAGGCCTCGAGCAGATATTTGCTATTGCTTACATACTCTTTCCAAGAGGCTCACCAAAACGCGTACTTGGCAAGTATGATCCAATTACACCATGCTATTTGTTTTATCTACTTTACTTCAATGCATTGAGTCCTTTTTGTCGATGGCTGTTTCTTTTACAATTCTCGTCTTCACAGTCTTGCGTCAAAGAATTTCATGTAGATTATATGTCTGTGAATATTTTGAGGTAGAAAGTTCATATGTACTTTTCTACTGACAGGCTCTTATATTATTTCTTTCAGGTTGCACTAAAAGCGTTAATTGTTATTCATCGTGCTATGAGGGAAGTCGATGTTTCATTTCTTCAAGAGCTTGTTAATTATACTGCTCATAGAGGCCATTTGTTAAACCTAACACATTTCAAGGATGATATGAGCACCAATGGTACGTATCGCCTATCTTTTTGCTTAATCATACGCAAATAATTACTACTAGAATATGAGAAACTGACCATGTGGATTCTTCTGATTTTGATTGTGAAGCATGGGACTATTCGACTTGGATTCGTTCTTATGCTTTATACCTGGAAGAATACCTTGAATGCTTCTGCATTATGAGATATGATTTTCAGAGAGAACGGAAGGTATATATGCCATTTTGCATTGAATAAAACTAGCTATAATGTTATGAAATATTCATTTCCCGAACTCTTTTGGAATGTATCTCAATATCTGTCATCACTCCTAAAAATCAATAGCCAAATCAAGTTTTCTCAATGCAATTGTGAAGTCTTTTATTTTGTTATGAACTATGCATTTCCCGAACTCTTTTGGAATGTATCTCAGTATCTGTCATCGCTCCTAAAAATCAATAGCCAAATAGAGTTTTCTCAATGCAATTGTTGAGTCTTTTACTTTTTTATGAAATTGTTGTTGATACTAAACAGAGAATAAAGGAGCTAAACACCCCAACCTTGATACAGACAATACCTGCTTTACAACAACTGCTCTCTCGTCTTCTTGATTGCCAGGTGATGGATCAATCAATTGCTGAGTAATCATTTTGAAATATCTGTTTCTTTTTATTTTTTGGTTCACGAATATGTCGTCCTATAATGTTCTGGTACCAATACATTTCCTTTGCTTTAGAGGAATAATGACTGTCATATTTTCAGCCAGTGGGAGCAGCTCAAAATAATTTCTTGATTCAGCATGCCCTTTCAATTGTGAGTTATTACTGAATGTCCTTGACTCCTTCACTATATACCAGTAACTTCATTTGGCTTTAATGCTTTTCACATTGAAAATCAACTTATCATTTATATTATGTTTGATACAGGTTGCAGCAGAAAGTGCGAGTCTATATGTAGCAATTGCTGATGGGATGCTTAACCTGGTGGACAAGGTATGATACAGACCAAATGTTTGCGATAATGGACGGATCTATGTGAAAAACAAAAGGTATTGACTAATAACATTTTACAGTTTTTTGAGATGCAACGTCATGATGCAGTCAGAGCACTTGAAATTTATCGAAGGGCAGGAGACCAGGTATGTGCATCTTCTTTGTACATATTCCTCTATTGAGATCTACTCATTGTGCATATTTTGCTCTAATACTTTGAAATATATGTGATGCAGGCAGTAAAGTTGTCTGAGTTCTTCGAGATATGCAGGAACCTTGACTTTGGACGAGGGCAGAAATATGTTAAAATTGAAAAGGTAATCCAGTTAGTCTTGGTCTCTTTCTCCTTTTTGACCAATATCTAGAATTCATGTTTCTATCCCTTGAGCTATAAGCAAGTACTCCTATCAGATCTCTAAGTTGGTTGGACAATTTTCCTTCGCTCCTAGTTTATAGACTTTATGTAGTAATGCTGATTTTTCTTCTCCTCTAAATAATAAACACAGCCGCCTGAATCATTTATAACAGCAATGGAAGAGTACTTGATGGATGCACCAAAACCTCTAATGATTACATGGAGACCGGTACGTTGTAAAGAATTCAATTGAAAAAATCTTGTGGTTAGAATTTCAATCTGTTATAAGGTACTAAATTTTACCTTAACTATAGTTCTGTTGTTCTCAATGTTCTCACATAACAGATAAAACCTGTCCATTTACATGGCTGTATGTTATTTGAGTCCTGGAAAATTTACACCTTTCTTAATTGCAATTCGATATGATAGAATCTGCTATTATCAAAACTTTCTTTCATATCAATTCTTGCTAGCCCTAAGGCTTTGGCCAGGGAAGCGCTTATGGAATATATGAGATAACACAAAGTAGGGTCAATTTCACGTATGGTTACCGAGTTTTATTCAGTAATAAGAGTAAAGTAGTCACTGAACTTTACCCACTGTAACGACAAAACATACCCATTGAAGTGACCTTACTGTAATAATGTGTAAAATTCAGCGATCTTTCGTGAACTTAACCCCACAGATGTAACAAGATTTATAGTCTTATATCTGGAATTTTCTTCTTTTTTCTTATGGCAACAGGATGATGATGACAGAAGTACCAAGGTCATTGCTGTTCCTGAATCCAAACAAGAGACTGATCAAGAGCAAGAAACTGAAGTACAAACGAAAGAAGAGAGTAACACCAAGACTCCAACCCCACCCCTCATTCCTGACCTTTTAGTAAGGGCTTCTTGACCTAATTTAATTACTTCCAAATGGAAAATGAGATATTCTGATGATTCATCGTATAGCTAATTATAAACTTTTATAGTCTTTTGATGACCCAAGTGAAGAATCAGCTGCTTTGGAAGATAACAACAACCTAGCTTTAGTTATTAGTACACCTGGTATATCTTCTTTCTTTCTTGTCTTCTTCTTTATATTTGTATCTGTCAATGCAGAGGGATCCCAGTTTTCTTCTAACTATGCTTTTTGTATTATGTGTAGAGGAGTTGTCAAATTCTTTGAACAGTTCAGACCAATGTAGTGAACCAACAGGTTGGGAATTGGAACTCGTTACAGCGTCAACTTCTAACCAGGGGCCGTCCACATATAATAAGCTGGTTAGCCTTTTCACTTGAAGAATAAAGATTTTATCTATTGATCCTATCTTATATCTACCATTCTTCTATTTGTTGTCTAACCAATTAATACGAATTGCATCAGCTTAATCAGTGATTTGCCTTTGATATTTTTGTTTACCAATGGTTCATTATATTTGAAACATTTTCTCCTATTTCCAGATACAAGGGGGTGTACTAGATAGATCAAAGTTGGATAATTTGTATGATACAGCATTGGCAAGACAGAATATAAATGACCCTTACAATAGGGAAGTTTCATCTAATCCGTTTGAGGTAGCCGATAATTCCCAGGATGCATTTTATAGTTCAAGCAACTCTGGAACAAGTGATGCACAAAAGGCTGCTATGGCTCAATACCATGACTATATGGTTTTAATGCAACAACAGATGGCCAATATGTCTCAATTACAAGAACCATTCATGGGACAACAACAAATTTGTGGAATTCCTGGACAACATGAAGCCTTAATGCAGCAGCAAATGGCCGCTATCGTTTCTCTACAACAGCAAAATGCTGTTATAACTCAACAAGAGGAAGTCATTATGCAACAACAAAATGGTGGAAAGAATCAACAACAAGAAACACAGATGCAAGAAAACATAGAAGGACCAGCATCGGTTACTGATGCAAATCCATTTGGGAATCCTTTCACCGATATTACAACTTATAATCCATCTCAGGATCAGGCTCATGTATCTCAAAATCAAAACTCACAGGCTAGCTTAATATAAAATCATTTTTCAAAAACAAAGGATGGTATTGAGGGATAAGTATTCTTTCTGTTATGCCTTCCGAGTGGCAACCATTACCATTAACTACAATCTACGTATGATGCTAAAAAGAAAAGATTGGGTTTTTAGAAAGATGTAATGTAATAGCTTCTCTCTAACATAAACTTCTTTGTTCTTTTTCAACACAACAGCACTCTACCCTAGCAAACATTAACTCCCTAAACTAAATAACCTCCAACAATGACTGATCCTACTCATGAAATAGATATAGAACACAACAATACAGATTACAGAGCCACTTGATATAGGTTCCATGCAAATATATGATGCTAGCCCAATTCCGAAACAGCCAACTTTTCTACAAACTCTTCTAATAAATCTCTGATGAAATCGTCCAAAACAACATAGATGAGGACACTTTTATTCCAATTACTTTCAATGATAAATCACGTCTCTATGGACCTTGGAAATATTCAATAATAATAAAAGTCTTTGGAAGGAAGATTTCACATCACATACTAAGGAATAAGCTCCTAGCTCTATGGAATCCAATTGAACAACTTCCTATCATTGATCTAGGATCTGATTTTTTCCTTATCAAATATCAAAAAGAAAGAGAATATGATTAAGTCCCTACATGGAGGACCATGGTTTATACTAAACCACTTTCAATCAGTCCGAAAGTGGCACCCCAAATTTATAGCATCGTCTACACAACTTACCTATTCAGCCATTTGGGTTCGCCTGCCAGAACTGCCGACTGAATTTTATGATTTGGAATACTACAAAGGATTGGCTCTAAACTAGGACAATTGTTAAAGGTGGACACATGCACCTCAACAACTACAAGGGGAAGGTATGCCCGTATTTGCATCGAAGTACCCTTAGAAAAACCACTAAAAACTCATATACACATAGGACATTATCGGCAAACACTGCTATATGAGGGACTTAATCTACTATGCACAAGCTATGGACAATTTGGTCGTGCAAAAGGAAGCTGCTCCTTCGTCACACATCTACCATTGGAAAAAACTACAAAAAACACGGCTGCAGCATCCTCTACGATGCCATACAATGAACAACCTCAAGAAAGAGAATGGAAAACAGTCAACTTTGCACGGAAAGCCAACTACACATTCAAGGGCAATATCACCACCACAAGCAAGGCGGGTACAGTGGCGGCGCAACCTCCGGAGCAAACTACTACAGGTAAGTCTTCAAACCTGATGATAGGCTATAATTACGTATTTTAGTCGATTATTACACTCTAATTTACTGCACTTTAATTGAGTTTGAGCTTTAATCGCTAGTGTTTTGCACTAATTGTATGTTTTATGCCTTGTAGGAGTGATTCCGAGCTATATAGATGTTATGGAATGAATTCAAGTAATTTAGAGCTTTAAAGTTTGAGTAAAAGTTCAAGGAATTAAGCCGGAATCGTGTTTGGGGGTCAACGGATGATAGTTAGAGCGAACGAAGACTCCAGTAGGTAGATTGCGCACTGTCTAGTAAAATAGACATAACTTTTTTCTCGGAACTCCATTTTGGCTCAATAATATATGGTTGGAAAGCTAACTCAAAGGGCTACAACTTTCATGTTTTACGTTTTTCCAAATTCGGAACGGAACAGGGTGAAAAATGCCCATATGCGCGGCCGCGCTAGTTTTAGCGCGCCCAGAAACAGAAAGTCAGCCAATTAGCGCGCCCAGATGCGCGGTCAAATGCGTTGCAGCGCTAGTTAAGCCCGGGAAAAGTGTCCTTTTTCACATTGGAGAAGGTATAATTGTTTGGGCCAAACCCTACTTGGTATATATACATAGGAGAACGTTTTTGAGAGTAATTTTTGACGAAGGAAGAGCACAGAGCCGCCGTGGAGGCCGGGTTTTATCTTTTCTTCTACCAACTTAGTAATTTTTATGTTTCTTTGTATGATTTGTTGTTTTGCTACCATGTCTATGTGGAGCTAAACTTCACGTTCTAGGGTTGTGGTTCTTTCATGACTATTGTTATTCGGATATTGATTTTGATTTCTTAGTTTATCATATTGGTTTATTTATTCAATCCTGCACTTAATTATTTGATTGCTTGATCACCAATTGAATACTATCTACGAATCTTGAATTGAACTCGAAAGTGGGAATTCTAGATTGCATATAGGATTGAGTAGAGCAAGTTCTTGAACCTGGGCATCGGGGAACGGATTAGCAATTGGGATAGACATATACCCAATTGCCTTGCTTGGTTGATTTACAGGAATTATAAATGCGTTCTTGTTGATTCTAATTCCATAGACATATAGGCGTTAGGTTAGCTTGAATAGGCGAGTAAGGACTCGACAGATTCTTATGAGCAATATTAACCCTGTCAACCAATAAACTAGATAAATTAGTTAGTCAATTCAATTGAAGAATACAATAGGAATGTTAGATAGCTCATAACCCTAGATCGTTTTCATTACATTGATATCATAAAAATCTGCTCATTCTCTGTTAAAAGTTCATTATTTATTTTTATTTATTTTAATTAGTTTAGAATCAAATACTTCTTGGTTTAATTCTTGTATAGATAATCAGGATAGTCTAATTTAGTTAATAGTTAATCACAAGTCCTCGTGGGATCGACATCCGACTTTTAGTCACTTTATTACTTGACGACCGCGTGCGCTTGCGTGTGCGTTTGGCAGCAACAAGTTTTTGGCGCCGTTGCCTGGGACTTAGAAATTAACTATTTTTCTAGATTAGACTTTAAATTTTATCCTTTTTTTCGTATATACTTTTATTTTTACAAATATTTGATATTTTTCTCTTAGTGTGTTCCTAGTTCTCTCAGCATGACATCTGGGGATGAAATATACGGAGGTAAGGCTATTGATGAAGACTCTTGGTTGACAAAAGACTTTTATGGCTCGTATTTTTGGTCTTGTCATGGCCTGACTTCTTAGAGGTCTGAATTTGAATATGGGAGTAAGGGTTGGTATTGGGAAGAATATTCACGATTAAGGGAATATGAGGAACGACGTTGTCTTCTAACAACGTTGGTGAATGATTGGTCTAAGGAGAGAGATGAACTTGCACATAAAATTGATAATTTTGGCTTGGCTGTGCATAACTTAGATGCAGATTTGAGCACAAAGGTTGATGCGTATAACGCCGAGCAAATTAATAATGAGTTATGTGAAGCTGAAAAAAATCTTCTAGACCAAATTGAGGAGCAAAAACGAGAATACCAATCACTAGTCCATGTTTTTCTTGATGATGCCAATATTGAGAAGAGTGCTCTAGAGTCATGTGAGGGAGTAGATAACATTACTTTGGGAGACTTGAGTGTGTGTAAATATGGAAATGCAAATAGTAGTAAAATTCATGAGTTAGGGCGCATTAGACCTCATTCCAATCATTTTTCCACATTGTGTTTAGATAGTAAGATAGTAATCGGGCCATCTGAGCCAATGAGGGGGTCAAAGAGTGAGGACGAGAGTGCCTATATTCTTGAATTTGTTGTGCCAAAGAGCAAAAATTACATTCCTCATCTAAAGGCCGAGAGGTGCAGAGTGAAAAATTTATTACTTGGCCTGGTTATCTTTGTAGCCCCACCAAAGGTGCATAGCCACAGACTGGATGCCATGTTAGGGGTGCAATTCATAAGTTCAAGGTGAAGACAAAAATTGGTTCAAGTCGTGCCGCGACTTTAAATTAGGCGCTTGTTGGGAGGCAACCCAATTTTATTTTTTATTTTTTCTTTTGTTTATTTTTTTTATTGTGTTATTTCTTTTGTAGTATTATTTTTGTGTTTTGTAGGAGTATGAACATGGAATCAAAGCCAAGAGGCATGGGCAAAAGCGAGCAGGTGGTTGAAACTAAGTGTAAGGTACCCGCACAAGGGATCATACCAGGGAGAAGTCTGAGTATCCCGTGAGCTACTAATTCTTCGGCCTTTGGCCTACCAGGGAGTCTCTTTTACCCTCTTGTTATTTTTTTTGTGCATTGAGGACATTGTACAATTTTAAGTGTGGGGTGAGGAGATTGTCTGGGTGATTTTCTGTGCTATGTTAGCTTAGTTATAGTACTCATTCTTAGTGTAGTAAAAAAATTTTAAAAAAAAACCAAAAAAAAAATAAAAAAATTTGGACTTTTCCTGACGATGGATTTTGTGGACAACTTTCTTGAGGGATTAAAGTCTAAACAAAAAATCCAAAAATATGTCTTTTATTTTCTTTAGGTAGTAATAATCCCCTGTGATTTTTCTTTGTGCCTCGGTTCTTTTCCATGGGATGTAGTTTGAACCGGGTAGTAGTATTTTTTTATATTTTTAGAGTAGATTAGAATTTAGGGAATAAATGGAGGAAGAATGATGAACCTAGGCGCCCTTGACTTGTTTGATAGTAGTATATTTAGGCTTTGGCATGTGTAGTATCTTCCCTATGATTTGAAATTATTGATGATGCCTTATATGTTGGATAGCATGTCTTGTGATGCCCATGTCTCGTTTTCTTGACTTATGTTCACTTTGTGCTTCATGCTTAATATCTCGTGGCTCCGTGAATATTTGCATTTGTTTGAGAGTCGGAATGAGACCGTTCTTAGTGAGTCATGTGCCATGTGTGGTGAGGTTTTTGTATAGTCTATGTATTGTACTTGTGTCTAGAACTTGCCCGGTATGTGAGTTGAAGCGAAATTTTAGGTGATGTTCGGTTTGAAAAGTGATTTTAGGCTTTCTTTGATCTTTTTTGAGCTTTATTGCTTATCACAAATAAAATCTAATCCTAGTTAGCCCTTTTGAGCCTGTAGACTTTTATTTGGCACCCACATTACAAGCCTATACCCTTTTTATTCTTAATTGATATTGTTTTGATCCATTTTCCTCTTAAAGCACTTTAATTGTGAGATGAGCGCTAAAAGAAGTAAGAAGGAACTAAGTGTGGGGTAGCTTTTGAGTGGAACCAATAAAAGGAAAAAAGGTGCACTTGTTTTGTAAAATAATACACCATTAGCAGAAATTGAAGAAAAAAAAGAATAATCTGAAGGAAAAAAATAGAGATGAATGCATTGTTGTCTTGTTCCTGCTAGTGGGTATGAATTAATGTAGTGCTTAAAGAAAGAGGGAACATTGTTGGGAGTGATTTTAGTTGTGAAATTGAAGTTGGGATTGAAGAATTTGCGCTTAAAGTTGATTAT